CGGAATCAGGTCCAAGACTACAAGGGTAGCCCTGGGGTTGCAATGTATTAAAAGGCGAAATAAAATACATCTATCTGAAACTTCTACAATTCTGCATCTGCCATTTTTCTTTTCCGTTCTCTTCCTAAGCTCTGCACCTGTTACAGCCGCCTGCGCAAAACGGACCATTGCCTGGCCCCTACAGAACCTCACACCTTAGACCGCCATGACATCGGTGGTATCTGCTTGTGTAGTAGTTATAGTAAAACCCTCTTCATCAGAAGAGATGGAATCTATGGGAACCCCCTCCATTATTGAATTAAACTGCTGCAGGACCTCATGCATTGTAGGCCTGTTGGATGCTGAGTCATCTGTGCACCGAAAGGCCAGTTCCAATAYACCAACAGCCATTTCCCTCTCTTCTGGTGTGATTAACATTTTCAAGTCACTGTCAATCAGCAGATCAATGTCCCCCCAGCGCCTTGCCCAGGAGTACAGAGGGACAGAGTCTCCTTTTCTTGGTCTAAGGACAGCAGGTAAGCCCGTGAGCAATTCAATAAGCACGACCCCGTATGCGAACACGTCGCTGGACATCGTGAGCTTAGACTCGTACACGTACTCCGGTGGCATGTACCCAGGAGTTCCAGCTCTTGTCTGGGTGGGAAGTGTAGTATGACCTGTCATCAYGTCCCCCTCATCTCTATCTTCTCTGCCTGGCTTTGCAAGACCGAAATCACACAGGTATGCTCGCAGTTTCTTTCCCCTCCCCTGGATCAACACATTGCTGCTCTTCACGTCTCGATGTACGATTGGTCGCTCSGTTTCGTTGTGCAGGTATCGCAAGCATGTTGCTATCTGTTTGGCGATGGACATCCTTTCGGTCCACCTCAGCGTCAGTTTGCCGTTGGCAAAGGACTCTTCGCTTGTCCTGAAAAGCCTGTCCCTTGTCCGAGAATGCTCGGGATGCAGGTAGCTGTGAAGAGATCCCCCTGATACATAAGGGTATACAAGCATGAAACTGTCTCCCTCTGTGCAGTAGCCGAGGAGTTTGCAGAGGTTGCGGTGTCGAACCCCTCCGAGGGTCAGTACTTCTGCTCTGAATTGCCCGAGTTTCATCTCGCTGAACTCCCCTGCCATGACCTTAATAGCYACCTCCATCTTCTCCTTCCCCACCACCAAGGATGCCCTGTATACATGGCCATATCCGCCCTTGCCAGCAGTCACACAGTTGCCTTSGCTGATTGCACTTTCCAAYGTAGAGCGGGAGAACTCTATGAGAGAGGAAGAAGGTGGTGCTAGGCGAGAATAGAATTTTCGTATATGCGTKCTGGAACCTGTSGTACCCACGGTCTGACTGGAAACCTTTCCTCCAGGCGTGTCTTGTGTTGTCCCTCGTTCGTCTCTCGATATCAATGACATAGCGCTGCGCTGCAGGCGCCTCCTCCGAGACACTGTAACCACACGCAAGGCTAATCCTCCTCCGGATAAGGCCAAAACTGCAAACCCTACGCATAGCCCTACGATCAAGATCAGATGGTTGTTCTTGTTGTTGCGCTGTGTGCAATTGTGCAAGGCCGTGGCATTCAGTTGAAACTGAAAGATACGGCCATCTCTGGAGCCTACAAACAAATGGTTGCGGTCGTCSAACAGAAACAAATCCATGAGATTGCCAWCCCTCTCCCCTTGGGGTCTTTCAAGCTCTGCAACAATATTTATCTCCCTAATATCTCCYCCAACGGACACGAGGGGCGCCCAGTATAGTCTTCCATTGCCAGCGACAAAGAGATTGCACCCATCCTTGGTGACAATACATGCGCTTGAATTACTGAACACGTCAGGAATACCGAACTGAAGTGCCACATTGTTGCCTCCACCGATGGTCCTCGTAGCACCAGTAGGGGTATACACTTCGCGTACCGATTTGCTCCAGAACTCAAGAACATAGAGATATTTGCCATCACGTGAGGTCGACTGGGGAGCCATAGTTGGGTCTCGAAACCGGGCRTTGGRCCCGACGGTAGCGTCTAMGGTAACTGGATCCGGGGGTCCGTTGGTTGTGGGGCCTGCTATGGKCWGGATGGCGGTGGACCAATTAGACKGAACGGTAGTGTCAACTCTGTTTATGCGATCCTGGGTGGAGACGTAAAAAAACTSCCCAGAAAGGGGTTTGGCTATACCTAGTGGCAAAKTCATATTCCAATAGYCAACCTCAGCACTACTGGATACGTTAAATTTTGACAAACGATCGTTGTACTTTCTTGAAACGAGCAATTCCTGGTCGTTTAGCAACAGGAGACCTGATACATCTGTCCCGATGTCGGCAGTGCTGGGGTTTTCTTTTTGGTAATCAAGATCTTTCTCCCATGGCCCTGCAAATTCACTAATGATATACCCGCTACCATTGCCTGTGCCAGTCCATTGTGCCTTCCTCACCACGCAACCTCCAACGAGTCGACTATGGTTGCCATTGAGGTTAATGTTTTCGGAATAGTACACAGATTTCCCATCAGGTGAGACAGCTATGGCATAAATCATGCTTGGCTGGGTAAGCGAAGATCTATCCGGTCTGTTCTCAAGCACATTGCCCAAATATTGAAGGAGATTGCCATCATACATCAGTGATAGACGTTGATAGTCTGAGGTACGATTGAGCAGACGAGAAGCTTYATTACCCTGCTGCTCACTCAGGTGGCGGTCGTTGTTAGGGCCGGTGGCAGTGTCAAGGAGTGTGCTGGAAGTGGACCTGAAGAGGAGGAGGAGGACATGGAGGAGAAGAGCAATGTTGTTCCCACGACAGTATGCAAGCCACTCACACAATGAGACCATCTTCGCTGTGGCTACAGAACATGAGAAAGTAGGRAGGACAGTCTCTCCCCTCTTTCCAACSACTGGCATAGCAAGCTTGACTGCCTTAATGGAACCGGAATCATTCCCTTCCTCTCCGGTGGGCCACAATGGCAACTGCAGATTGCAATCATCCAATTTGGCATCTGCGAAGAGCAAACACYGTTTTTAATTCCATCAGTACAGCTGCAGTTTCTCCATAAATCTCCACGAATCTCTACAAATACACAAATCAACTCCTCCTGAAAAGCATCAAAATAGGCTACCACCCGGGCCGCCCGGGTCTCCTTGTTTGTCCAGGCAAAAACTATGCTATGCAAAAACAAAAAACTAAACATTGCCTCAGGGTAAGATCGAAATTCTTTACCGAACTTAAAATAAAAAATAAATTGATTTTTTTGTTTTTTTTGGCCCAGCCGGGCCAGGCCACTCTGGTCGCCTGGATTAAAACACAATCCCTTTGAAATTCCTTCATGCTTCTTTGCTAGCTTGGCTGTGACAGATATAATTCCCTTCAGGACCCCCTCTGGTAGGCCGCCATAGTAACTGGTAATTTCAATACTACCCATTTAGTTTGGCATCACACTGGGAAAAGCAAACGCCGTTTTTCTATTTCATCAGCACAGCAGTTTCTCCACGAATTGTAAGGTCCCCCACATTGGTTGCATTTCTATAAAAACAATTATACACTTTTCCGAAAAGGTAAAAAATGAARCACTTCTCCTGAAAAGCAGCAGCACACAATCCTTTGCTCGGTGCGGAGGCATAGTAGGTGTGTTTTTTCTTTTTTCCTTTTTTCTTTTTAAGCTCCGCTCCATTGGCGGGGAGCAGCAGGTGTCCAGCATCCAATAGAATTACAATGGGTAACTAGCTTAGTGCCCGCAGTGCAGGGGGTGCGGGCAGTGCCCGCACTAACAACGAAAATATGTAACATCACACAAACTGCTCGCACCGACTCAAATGGACCTATCTGCTAAAACAAACTAAAAAGACACTCAAAACGGGCTCAAACTGACTCATACAGTCCAGTGACAGAC